ACCTAACTGAACTGCAGTAACTGGTCGAAGTTTCTGTAACATACTGACAATATAAGGCTAAGGATTCAAATCAGAAAAAACGTTTGATGAGTATAATAAAGAAAAAAAGAAGAAAGGGGGATAGGCAATCTGTAGGCCGCGCCGTCGCGCTGTTTCCTACACGACGTCTGACTCCACCCTGGAATATAAATGGGTTCCGGCGACATAAGCATCCCATCCAGTGGGGGACTAGCAATACTCTTAAATTAGATACTCCTAGATGATTACGTAAGAGGGACGTAAAAATAGTGCCATCAATATTAGCCTGCGAAAACATCCGTTTCTCCTCGCTCTTCGCTGCCGGGGACGTTTCGCGAGGAGGAACGTCTGCGACTCAGCGGCAGAAATTCCATACTGATGACGCAAACCAATGTTTACATAATAAATCCAGTAGTCATGGCGTTCCAAATACAACGAGCTCCAGCAAAACTCAAATGCTTCTTCTAGAGAAGACTATATTTTGCAAATATTGACTGTTTTGTTAGAGATTCTTCGCGTTTACATTTGACCTTTGTGGCCTTTTGTCTTTTGTCTGTCATTCGTAAACAATAGCTAAAACAATGTAACTACTCCGTCGACCAATCAGCGCTTCTGTCCCAAGTAAAAATGCCTTGATCTTTTATCAAATTCTCTCAACTCATTCTTTAAGGAAATGTATGGAGATCAGTTTGGAGAATTTGTATGTGGATACTGGGGCTTAAAGGGTTAAAGTCAATCTCGAGTTGATTAAGAGGGCCTTTGTTCATAAGGAGGCTACCTTTTGGTATTGATCACAATTATGTAATGTATCCCAGTTTCGTATATAATTAAGTTTTTATCTATTTATTCATTTATTTTTATACAGGACACATATTGATAGCAGTTTTTATAACTGAAATGGTCATCCGGTATAAACATGTTATTATTATTATTACTTAAAAACTTATGGCCACTCCAATCAGAAGGTGCTTTATGTAATCAAAGGTTTAGAAGTAACCAATCCAGAGCGGGTTTTGCAATCTAAACCAAGTTATAGCGAGGGATGAACTTCTCTACCTGTGGATAAAATCCTATGATGTTGCCATTCAAATGAAACCTCTTCGGCTGAACTTTTGAATCGTACCCTTTATTTCTTAGACTTTTTAAAAAAGACAAATGACTTTGTGAGTGTTCAATTTATTAACCATTTAAGGGGCGTAAATACAGCATGAACAGTGGTGTACCTATACAATGCTTTACAAAGGATCAACCCAGAAAGGCACCGCAGTACTTACCAGACATGTCGGATTCTGCTTCAAAGTCGTAGTGCTTGAAGTCACGAGCGTTGTGGCTGAAGTAAATTACTCTAAACAGAGATTTTCCATTGCTTTTTTCTTCCATCAATTGGCAGTCGACAACATTCTCCATTTCTATGGTCGTCTGAAAAATATAGCAAGTCTTTGAAGAGGGCGGTTTTGAAGTGAGTTTGTGAAAGAAATCCGGGGTTTGGTGACGGTTCCCATTGTTTGAATTTTGATAAATTTCCTGACACAGTTCCTGTAATAAATTACTCATGGAAAGGCCACGGGGAAATGGGGATGATCGAAGGATTTTTTGGGGGTCTGAAATTTTCGATTCTGGGATTTTGGGGGGTAGCAAAATTGGGCAAGTATTTTTTTTTGGTGGCTTGAATCAAGTAGGGATTTTTTTGGGTGTTCAAAACAATCTGAAGATTCGTGGTAGTGCCCGCGTATCCCGGCTGCGTAGTTCTGCGGCGAAAGTACAACCAAATAAAGAACAACATGTTATATCATTTAATGCCTTCTGGAAATTTTTAAGGCTCGGAAACTCGGTATGCGATTTTGTTTTGGGTTAATTTTTGGTCCAGGGATTTTTTTTGGGTTTTGTTAGAGGCCCCATTCATCACTTGAAATCCAGAGCCCCCCCCCCTCCCACCCTCCTACGCCCTCCCACCCCCCCTATATCTATCTCTTTAATCCTAAAATATCCTTAACAATGCTGTGTTTACTTGTTTCGATCTCTTTCCTCTTTTGTTTTCTCAGTTACCTACTTTATTGTATTTTTTACAACATCTCAACAAAATAAAGATCGCAAGAGATATGACTGTTTTGTTAGAGATTCTTCGCGTTTACATTTGACCTTTGTGGCCTTTTGTCTTTTGTCTGTCATTCGTAAACAATAGCTAAAACAATGTAACTACTCCGTCGACCAATCAGCGCTTCTGACCGGATTTCGGACAGATTTTACGTCATCAGTATGGAATTCTGTCGCTGAGTCGCAGACGTTCCTCCTCGCGAAACGTCCCCAGCGGCGAAGAGCGAGGAGAAACGGATGTTTCCGCAGGCTACATCAATATTAGTACTTTCGAGCTAAATAAATTGACACTCAAATAAAGTACATTTTTTTCTTCATTCTAAGGCTTTCGAGTGTTAGAAACCACAGGTTTAATGACTTACACTAAGATGCAAACATTAGCACACAAGCGATTATGCGTTTTACTTCTAACTTCTGTTCCAACGAAAGGCTGTTCTTTCAGTAAGTTTTTTAGCCGCGGCAGTTGTTGTCCAACAGAGAGATTAGGAATCACGTTTACGGCAAACGGCAAACGACAGATTCTAGTTGAGAATTTCTCAGAATAGAAAATAAGCAAAAGTAGGTTGAGTTTGATGGTCCGGGTTAACGTAGGTCCTCAATAGGACTGTTGTTGTTGACAGTGACCGACGTTTCGACAACCTGCGAGGTAGTCATCTTCAGAGTCAAAGTGAGTTGTATCACGTCAGTTGATGGTATTACACTCTGGTTATTGACCTGATAGGTCAATTACGTCGCGATGTTATTGGTCGTCTGTCGGTTAAGCCGTGATGTTATTGGCTTTGAAGACTCGTAATCAGTAATTGGTGCGTTTCGATCCGTCTATTGTCACAGCCGCTTGGCGTAAACGTGAATCTTAAACTCTGTTATGTCAAGCACTAGAGTCCTTTAGATTCGAGGACGGGAACGACTGTACTAAGAGTACAAGATTTGATTTTAAGTTTTTTCGCGTATTGTCAAAAAATAGACATCCTGGAATGTTTCACTGTACTTTTTTTCACCAGAAAAGTAGGCACTGTTTTCTTTATTGGAGGAGGTTCAGGCCTCTTCCAGTAGCAAAATAAAACATTCTAGCTTTTAATAACTTGTTTCCGCCACCATGACTACTCTTAGTAGAATGAAGACGGCTATCACTTTTTCCCGCCAAAATGATGCTAGCTCACGAGCGAGCACTATTAAGTATTGGAGAATCACGTTTACGGCAAACAGCGAACGCGAATTTGTACCACGTCAATTGTCGTTTACTGTTCGTTACTTCTACAAAAAAAATTAGTAGTTTCAAACAAGGTTTATCGAATAGAATTGTTTGGTACAGATTTTATCTGCTCATCTCTTAATTTGACGAATTCTCAACTCGCTGTTTGTGGTAAGCGTGGCTCTAAATCTCTCTACTGAGAAAATCTTGTTCTCGTGGTCGTCCACGTCTTAGAATCTTAAGTTCTCTACTGTGAGTATTCTTATTGCTAATACTAAGTACACAATTAACTCTCACCCTGTATTGTATAGGTACGATGAACTCATTGGGTAACGTCATCATTGGGTCATTGGGTTTCCCTGTTGCGTACAAAATATACTGTTAACATCCGCATATTAGAACACACAATTTCGGAGGTCAGGCTGATTGAGTTCTTATTTATCGAGTGCTTAATGACAAATCAGCCTCAATATGTTCTTAAAATCTTCTTAAAATGTTCTTAAATTTTTAGTTAGTAATACTATCCAAAACATGTTTCTAGAGGAATATTTAGCATATTTTAGGAATATAAAATAAACAATTATTCTGTAATTTGATTATATTAACAAATGAAGTTATCTGACGGCAAACATAAACTTACATGTTTTGTAATTATGACACTTTTTCCATTTTATAAGAACATGTTACAATTTTCAGGCTGATCTTGTTCTTATAAAAATGGGGCTTTATTGGCCAAATTTCCGCCTGGTGTTCTTAATCCATTTGCTCTTATATGCGGGTGATTACTGTAGTGCAAGTTGTTGGAGCAGCCTGCAGCCCACCCCCCCCGCCAAGCAAACATTAACACTTACTTCTCACTTAGGGAAAAATGTTGGCTTAGGGGAAGGGTAGGTGGGCAGTTTCTCAGAAACCTAACTTGATTGAACTAGCTGTGGTATAGGTTAAGGGTTCCAAGGTCCCAGTGGCACATCCCCACCCAGAAATTCCTAAAGTACCCCCCCTCTGGCCGAGGGGAGTTTAAGCAGCCACGTCAACCGGAAGTGAGACGATTTGTCCAAGAAAAAAACTCGTTCAAAAAATATTAAGGCTTAGCAACACTTTGGAAAATGAGAGATTCACAAAAATCACCGAGGGGTACACATTAAGGTACAATTTAAAAAAGATAACGGGATCGAATGTTAGTTTACAATCTCAACCTGAATTTTTGAATTTTGAAAAACTAAAGAGCAAAGTACTTACGACCAAATCTGACAAGACAAAACTCCTTTGTTCCCATACTCTCCAAGGTTGCATCCAGACTTATGGGAACGCCTGGCTCTGACTGCTTTTCCAACACATATTCTTTGGCTAGAATAAGAAGTCAGGTTTACAAACGATCCTTCAGTATTTTTCACTCCTTTAGTTTGGACAGATGAACGAAGCAAGGAGGACAGGAAAGGAGAAAGGCTGGGATTAATGGAAAAGAGGGAGGGAGGGTAAGAAAGGAGTTAGTAAGGGAGGAGCACGTAGGGAATTAAGCGGCAGAAAATTGGAGTAGTGGAATGAAGGATGAACAGGAAGGAAAGGAAGAAGAGGCGAGGAGAATGGAGAGAAGAAAAGAGGAAGGATGGGATTAATGGAAAAGAGTGAGGGAGGGTAATATAGGAGGTGGTAAGGGAGGAATGGGTATGAAAGAAGAAGAGAATTAGAGTAGTGGGAGGAAGGTAGAACAGGAAGGAAGGGGAGAAGAGGCAAGGAAGATGAAGGAAGGGAGAGACGAAAAGACGAAGGGTGGGATTACCGGAAGAGAGGGAGGAAGGGTAAGAATGGAGTTGGTAAGGGAGGAATAGGTATGAAATGGGAAGAAAATTGGAGTAGTGGAAGGAAGGTAGAACAGGAAGGAAGGGGAGATGAGGCGAGGAAGATGAAGGAAGGGAGAGAAGAAAAGAGGAAGGATGGGATTAATGGAAGATAGGGAGGAAGGATAAGAAACGAGGTGGTAAGGGAGGAATGGGTACGAAAGGGGAAGAGAATTGGAGTAGTGGAAGGAAGGGAGAACAGGAAGGAAGGGGAGATGAGGCAAGAAAGATGGAGGGAGGGAGAGAAGAAAAGACGAAGGGTGGGATTAACGGAAGAGAGGAAGGGAGGGAGGGTAAGAAAGGAGTTGGTAAGCGAGAAATGAGAATGAAATGGGAAGAAAATTGGAGTAGTGGAAGGAAGGTAGAACACGAAGGAGGAGGAGAAGAGGCAAGAAAGATGGAGAGATGGAGAGAAGAAAAGAGGAAGGGCGGGATTACTGGAAAAGAGGGAGGGAGGGTAGGATAGGAGGTATTAAGGAGGAAATGGGTAAGAAAAAGGACTAGAACAGGAGTAGTGGACGGAAGGTAGAGACAAAGAAAGGGGAAAGAGGAAAGGAGGATGGAGGGAGGATAAGAAAATCTGAGGAAGTGAGGAAGGAAGAAGAAAACGATGAAGAAAAGGCAATGGAGCTTAGCCTTAGAACTGTAACGTGTAACATCATAAAATGCGAACCTGTTCGTTTAAGGCCTCTCTTCTTTTTTATTATTTCAAACACTCGCTTCATTTGGGCGTTCACACTATCCACTTTTACTTTGGAAAAGCCATGCTGTGCTTCATACCTAAATACATAAAACGTGAAATTGAGCACTTTCACGTCGTAGTCGTGCAGTGACGGAAAAGAAATGCACAAAAAGGCGCGTTCACGTGTAATGTTATTGTTTTGTCAATCTAAACCTATTGCTTTTTTAACATTCTCGTTGCCGCCGCCGTCTTCTTTGCTTAAGCGACGGCAGTGAAAACGTCACTAAAAAATGAATTTGGGTCCTTTCAAACTTTGTCGCGTCTATTGGAACCTGCGAATTTGTCAAAGGTAGGCAATGTCTCCTGGAGTGAATTCTTAAGGACTTCATCCAGGTTGAAAAAGAGAGAGGAACATTTGTCGACGTACGTTCGTCGTCGTTCGCTCACGTCCTTTATAAAACGTCGTAGTCGTGCACTGGACGTCAAAGAAATGTACTGAAAAGCGAGGTGCACGTGCAGAGCTGTTGGTTTGCTCAAAAAAATAATTGTTTTTTGACGTCCTGGTCGTCGTGGTTGTCGTTGCTTGAGCTCCCTAACAGAGAGACGACCGGACGGCAAGGAAAACGTCACTGAAAATGCATTTGCGATCTTTGAAGCTTTACCATACTTGCTCATTTTGTCAAATGCAAACGAATTTTCCTGGAGATGAATCTTTGGGGACCGCAATGAAGTTTAATAGAAAGAAAAAGAAAAACTCGCCATCGTGCGTTAACATCCTCCATAAAACGTCGCATCAGGAAATTTCACGTCGCAGTCGTGAAATGACGGCAACGAAATGCACCACTGGGGTGCTACGTGTCAAAAAATTGTTGTTTCGCTTACTATTGTCGCTGTCGTCGTTGCTAAAAACCCTCCATTAACCAGGCCTGGTATGTGACTGCCTTCATACTTACACTGTTATGATGACCCCAGATGAGGGTTTTGGAGGTGCTGGCTTGGCAGGACTTGCGTCTTTCTGAAAACCAAGAACATATTTTACACTTTAATTCACTTCCCTTAAGCATCCATGTTTCCAGGATGAAGTTGCTAAGAATTTATCCAATGGTTCAAGAGACAGAACCGGGATTGTGCAGCATCATTGACACCATCAAGAAAAAGGCTGATTTAAACTAAAGAAATGTTTGCCTTGTGGCTGTAGTAAAAAAGATCAAAGGTAACAGAAAACAAAATACCTGAACTAACGCCAAGCACGGGAAATCAAATTTCGAAATCGGTTCTTTGCTGTCGAGAGCTTAAAAGAAAGAACAGTCAAATATTACCATCTGTTCTAATCTTCTGGTTTGAAAGGTATAACAGTAGTTATCTATTTGTCTTCAAAGTGTCATGTTGGGGAGAGTGGTGAGGAAAGAAGGAAGGAGACAAACCCCATAAGAAAAACGTATTTTGATCCAAAGAGGATAATTATACCTTTCTGGGAAACTGCCTACTTACCCCTCCCCTAAGCCAACTTTAACACTTACTTTTCACTTAGGGCAAAAAGTTGGCTTAGGGGAGGGGTAGGTGGGCAGTTTCCCAGGAACGTATGATGATCCGAACTTTCTTACATAAGAAAAAGGTTCAGCTCCCACAGGATTAATTTTTTAGCAACAGAACGGGAACGTCAGCTGACGACGGCGCGCGCAAATCAAACAATTGGCTTGACCAATGGCTAAGCGGCAAATCTGGCACCGGAAGTCGAGCTTAGTCCTTTCCGCGCGCTTTCCCGTCGTCAAATGACGTTCCCGTTCTGTTGCTAAATCAGCCTAATATGATGAACGTGACATCATATGCAAACAGTCTAATTTCCTATTTCCTCGCAGTCCCTCGTGATTGTCGAGCAGGACAGGCGGGCGTGCAGGTTTAATAGGCGATCTCTTTCACTACCATAGATTTTATCGCTACTAAGCTCTAAATGAAATGTTTCAAGCAATTGCTGACAATTTCTGTTCATCCCTTACCTGGAAAATCAGTGTCAACTTCACCGTCTTCCTCAGCAATATGCAAGGAGCAGGACTTTATATCATGCTAATGAAAAACAACGAAGTCAGCTTAACACCTAATAAACTTGGGATGAACTCACTTCCCAGGACTTAACACCTACAAACAACCCAAACCTAAGAAGTACCTTGTCTCCTTCAAAGCCGTTATTAGGGTCGTCACGCAACGCTCGGAAAGTTAAGTGACGACCCTAATAACGGCTGCGAGGGAGACAATACCATAACACCATAATGCACCTTGTTTACCCTCAACCACTTGTTACCCCTTCTTGCCCCTTCTTAGCCCTTGCTTCCCTTATTACCCTTTGTTACCCTTCTTACCCATGTTACCACTTCTTCCACGTTACCACTTGTTACCCCTTGTAACCCTGGTTACCCCATGTTACCCTTGTTACCCTTGTTACCCCATGTTACCCCTTGATACCCTTGTTACCCCTTGTTACCCCTTGTTACCCTTGTTACCCTTGTTACCCCATGTTACTTATGTTACCCCTTGTTACCCTTGATACCCCTTGTTACCCCTTGTTACCCCTTGTTACCCTTGTTACCCTTGTCACCCCATGTTACCCCTTGATACCCTTGTTGCCCATGTTACCCCTTGTTACCCCATGTTACCTCTTGTTACCCTTGTTACCACTTGTTACCTTTGTTACCCCTTGTTACCCCGTGTTCCCCTTGTTACTTCTTGTTACCCTTGTTACCCCTTGTTACCCCTTGTTGCCCTTGTTACCCC